CCCTCTTCCACTTTATGTTCTTCAAAATGAGCCCCCTGTTTGTTTTTATATGCCTGTAGAGGCAAATTTGCATATGCTCTAAGTGAAGTGAGCAATGCCTCTCTGTTGAAGCCCAAACCCGCCATTAAACTGTCGCCGGAGGACCCCAAGCCGCCGCCTCTGTCCACGTCGTGGTTGTGTCTCAACAAAACTCCCAGGATGAACAATGGGGTGAAGAGGACCGTCCGATTCGACCCCGTTGGCGTCATCGTCGACGAAGACTGCCGACCCTGTGGCCACAAGCGCATATACGATCGCGATTTCGCCGCCGACAAGCCGGAATTTCAAGAAATCAAGAAACCCAGGAGGGGATGGGTAGTAGGATGATAAATTGAGCAATCAAGAAATCTCAGAGGCGGATACCATCAATGGAATACTGATTTTTACACTAAGGAAGATGAGTAGTAGGATGATAAATTGAGCAATTTCAATTCAGATTGTGTGTGTGAATGAAGAAGTGGGTCAGATCTTGTGGCAATAGGAGGGGATGGAATGCAAGAAAATTATCAATTTCTCACCGGAAATGGCCGGAAATGAGGGAGAAGCTCATCGGAGAAGAAAGGTGTGTTGTGTAAAATGACTAAAATACCCTCAGTATTTGACTCATTAAATTTTTCCGGTGAGATTTGGCCGGCAATTTGGCCGGCGTGACCAAAATTGATAGAAATTGCATAATCAAAATACTAAATTAACATTTTTGAAAGTCAAGTGTTGCAATTAACACAACCCCAATAGTCAGTGGACCAAAATTGAAATTTTCTCTAATTAATTATTTTATCATTAAAAGTTTAAAAAAACAAACAAAAACAAAAAACACATTGTAAAAATTTTTAAGAAAAGGTTATAATATTGCAAAAATCTTTTACTAAAAAAAAATATGTTTAACTAACATATTCTTATCACGCCAACAACTATATCTTGTGATGACACATCTCTTACTATTCCAAATGAGTGGTAACCCGCAATTACTATTAAAGACATATATTAGATAAATCTCATTCCTGTATAATAATTTACATACCATATAAGAAAAGTAAATCGAATTATAGGAAGATCACATGTAATGAGTTCGAGTGTTGAGAGTGATCAAATTCGTAACTTTTAAATACAAAAATTTTGTGTCGAAGTGAACCTCAATTATATTATTCCCTTTTTTCCCAACAGTGCTCGTGGTTCCATTTCGTACAGTCGTACCAGTTTTCTCTCTCAAATTAAAAGGCAAAGATAGACCGGAAATTATTAGTCGTGCCGGTCGTCGGTCGGAAGTGTTGTTATTGTTTTTTTTAAATAAATAAATAAATAATGGATTGCTTTATCTATCCTCATTAATTAGCGTATAAGTACGGATTAGCATATATGGTGTCAATATCTATAAATAATATATTTAATGTACGTAACTATGTATGCATACAAATAACGTATATATCTAATTAGTATAATCTGTGAACTCGATTAATATAATTTATGATCTAAGTATAACTTGTATGTTCTTATATTATAATGTATGAACTTAATCGGCGTTACATGTTGTTAGTATAATATCCTCTCAATTTGCAGTCAGGCAAAACCTAAATTTTATGGGTTATCTTAGATTAGACAGTCGGGCAATACTTAAGATATTAGTTCATAAATTTCTCCTGCGCGCGTATCCTCTCAAGATACGTATAATATTTTTGTATAATTTAATTAATTTAATTTTTAATTAATATTTAGACACTATTAATCATTCTCTCTTGTAATTTTAATCTATACTCATTATTTAAATGATGTTGTTAATCCGCCGTCGACTACTCACTAACTAATAGAGTAATAGTAAAACCAACAATATTATATTATACCTTAGTCTATAAAATGAGCTCGACCTCCAATTGCATTCAAGTATTACGTATATTACTAAGGACCTTAGCGTGCACGTAGATAGTGATGTCCCAAAATGAGTTTTATGGTTTTTATTAATGTAAAATTAAAATAATAATTCGGATCACCATCGATCCAATCCTTCCGCTTTTCTCACATTTATTATTAGATTATAATAATATAATACAATAATCACAATAATCCTTTAACTATAGTTTGCATTACAAATCTAATGTACGTAATTGTTACTCTGTGACTCTTTTATTTATTTATAGCATTTTTTATCTAGTGTATTGTAGAGTGTAGACCCTATTCGATGATAAATCACGCTCTTGTAGTCTCACAAAAAAAAAAAAAAACAAAAAAAAAAAAAAAACAAACAAACAAACAAAACAAAACAAAACAAAACAAAAAAAAAACAAAAAACAAACATACACACACAAATCGCATTAGAAATACTTTATGTGACAGATTTAATCAAGAGATGTCACCAAGAATTAAACTCAAGATCAAAAATTATGTTCTACCCACTAAGTCACTCATTTATGTCTAAAGTGAACAGATCTTTTGTGTGCACCCACATTTAACTGTTGATGAATCAATGAATTACCGTAATTTATCTCATCACACATGCTCTGTCAGGTCGGAGCGTGGAACCCGGCCTTAAGTTAGAAATTCAACCTTTTGAGAAAAAAAATTACGTGCAAAAGCATAAATAAGTTCTTTTGATTAAATGTTAACTTCATTGATTAAAATAATAATTACTGTTATATCTAAGTATCTAACAATCTAAAGTTGTAAAACTATAATAATAATAATAATAATAATTATAATTAGGCAGAAGCATTTAATTAATGAATTATTATAGAGGCAAATTATTAGTATTGGTATTAATTGTTGAGCAAAGGAGTGATCGACCATCACGTGGCCTCCAGTGGGATGTCTATTTCATATATAATAATGTATCATCACACCCCTCACCATTGTCATCCTCTTAATAATAATGTTACCCACCTCACTTCTAGCATTCTGTATTTGCATTATACTGTATCCACATCTATTTATTACAGATATTCGATTTACAAGATAAGACTAATTCAGTTAATTTATAATTATATTTTATTCAGTAATTAACTCTTGAGTGACCTCACCAATATTCATATCTTATGAGATAATTATAAGACTAATTTAATTAAATTTCAATCAAATATCATTTATCGATCAATATCTAAATTAATTTCGAGTCCAAACTCTTGATCTCATACCTAAATGGTTGAAACACTTTTCATTTGAATCAACATGTTTTAATATTCCTTTTCTAATGTTAAAGAGAATATTGCATGCGTTGACGCTGTGCTGTTAACAGTTAAATCTAACCGTTATTATATGTGTTAAGAAAACGAACAAAAATTCGCAAAAAGACGTATGCTTTTATTTCTTTTTCCGTAGGAAGAATAATGGTACCTTATTATAATTAACAAGTAAAAAATAAAGGAAAGAAGGCCAACAATTGAACAAATCCCATTGCGTGTTTTGAAGCGTAACGTTATTGAATTTTCCCTTTTCAAGCTGGATGCACTTTGCTTGGCAGCCATGTGATTTAAGCAGCTTTTGCATCCCCACCCCCAACCCCACCTCATGTTTTTTTTTTTTTTTTTTTTTTTTTTTTTTTTTTTTTAATAATCCAAATTTTACCGTCAAATTATATCTTGAACTTTATAAACTCACAATCAGACCTATGAGAAAATAATTCGAATTAATCCGACTTTTACTCAACATCAAACTTGCCAAACACGAACTCTCAATGTTCGTGGCAGAAATTGCACTCCTACCATATTATTAGAAGCAAGTTTTAAGTGAGACTTCTCATCTATTAGACCAATACCTTAGAAGCTTTCCTCATATTTTTCTTATACTTCATAGTATTGGTATAACTAAGGGTAGTCATTGAGCTGGTTTATACTGAAACTGTTTTAAATTGAGTTGATATTTATTTATTTAGAGTTCGAGCCAGCTCATATAATAATCCTTCAATCCAAAATCAGCTCATATAGTAGCTTGGAACTGTCCTTAGTTCGAGCCAACACTACAAGAAAAATCGACAAAAAATTTAATATTTTTATATTTTTAATATAATGAGATGAGATTTGTTTAAATAGATTACATTTTTATTAAAGAGCAACTCTAAGGTCAAAAATTCGTTTCTCCTAAATTAGGAATCAATCCTAAAAACATATAAAATGGAACAAAAATCCAATTTTGTGAAGAATTCAACTGAAAGCATCCCAAATCCATTTCGCTGTGAATCACAAAAGGAAATAATAATTAAAAAAAAAAAAAAAAGCGGGGCATTTGCGGGAATATAATAAAAAGAAGGCAAGGCCAAACAGAAAGCGGAGTTTAGGCGCACGCTAATTAATGATGACACAGTCAGGTGGGCTGTTTGGTTGCGTGCACTGCTACGGTGCGCTTAGATGCTTTTTCACAACGCCAACCTGATTCCACTATCTTCCACCACCTTTCCCAAAACACCCCTCACTCTTTCTGGAGGGAAATAAACAATAATAAATTAATTATTAATTTTTATTACACTGATCCACAGCTAAACTGGAAGCATGCAAACAGTTTTTACTGTTGTACCCGGAGATTTAACCGCTGCTTCTTGGAAACGAAATTCTTATCCTTTCATATATATATATACAGAGAGGTTGTCATGTGGAATTGTTAAATGTTTCTTGAGAGAAGGCAGGATATGCTCTGGGGATGATGATATAAAAATATATATAGATACAGAGCAGAGGAGGAGAAAATGGTATTGATAAACTAAAACTATATTGACTTTCGCGAAGATCAATAAGCGCTGGGATCGGACTGAACCATTGCAGAGAGGCTCGTGCAGGTTTTGTCTTTTGGGTGTGGGGGCTTTGCATTCTTGATTTCAACTCTGAATTTTTTCCCGCTTTCATGATTTACGCTTACCACCTATAAGGTCTCTCTCTCTTTCTCTCTCTCTCTCTATCCCTGTGTTGTTCATACCGCCATGGCACCATTTACTGTTCTTCTTCTTTGAGAAATGAATTTGGGTTTTTGATGGTGTGCCAGACTGGCAGGGGTTACTGATTTTTTATTTTTCTCTGGGGAGTGAAGGAAGATGAATACTCGAGCCAGGAGCAATCTGCAGCCTATGAAGGCTCCTGGGAAGCTTGAAAAAGTAAGCTTGAAATTGTCGATTGTTTAATGCACTGTGGGGTGTTTAATGGTCTGGGTTTCTGTTCTTGCTTTAAATTGAGTTTGCAGGGTTCAGAGGCCAATCTTTTCTTATAATTTTGATAAAGTTGGCGTCTTTTAGTCCATTGGATTTCTAATTCGATTGCCCTGAGGAACAAGGAAGGGAGAATTCAATAAAACAAGCAAAGATTCAAGTTTTTTGTAAAGTTCAGTTTATGCTGTGGATGTGTGATTGGAAATCCTTGGATTGCAGAATGGTTTTTGTTCTACTATCTGTGATTTTGTTATATTGCCAATTAAAAAAAAGGAGAATTTTGCTGCCTTTGGTCCTTTTCTCCTCAATCTAATCCAGTTCAGATTGCCTTTTCTTTTTTCTGTTATGTCCAAATAGTTTCTTCAGGAAGCTGATTTCCTCTTATGTTGTCTTGCTTGAAGGAAAAAATGGGAGTTCAGAGTAACAAGAGAATGCACACAGAGAAACCAATGATAAATCGGCGAAAAGCAACCAGAGAGAAGAAGATGGCATTGTTACAAGATGTAATGCTGCCTTTCTGAACCTTTTATGTTGTCATTTTAGTGTTTCAGTATGTATCTAATGATGTATTTGGGCGCAAATTTTGTAGGTAGATAAGCTAAAGAAGAAACTCAGGCATGAAGAGAATGTCCATAGAGCTCTTGAGAGAGCATTTACAAGACCTCTGGGAGCTCTACCTCGCTTGCCTCCTTATCTTCCTTCATCTGTTAGTACTTTTCCTTCTCTCGATTTGATCGTAGTTCTAATCTAAACAAATTTGTTAGTCATATGATCAATGTTCAAGAAGGTATACTAGGTTATTGCTGTCTGTTTGGATTATGATTTTGAAACAAAATTCTTCAGACACTCGAGCTTTTGGCCGAGGTAGCTGTTTTGGAGGAAGAGGTTGTCCGGTTAGAAGAGCAAGTTGTGCATTTCAGGCAAGGGCTATACAAAGAAGCTGTTTATATTTCATCTTCCAAGAGGAACATGGACAATTTGGCCGAGCAATGTGACTCGTGCAAAAGTCCGAAACTAAAACAAACGAAGCTCTCGCCTCGAGTTGAAGCTCATTCTGGTAATTTGAGTACTACTGACTCTGTTACAATGCAGTATCTGTTCATAGCTACTTAGATTCTTCTCATCTATGCTAAAGAATTTTGCATTATAATTTGACAAAACGAATAGTCTTGCCATGGTGTACTGATTCCTCTTCATTTGAGTTTTAGATGATGGTGTGTTGAAAGAAGATCAATCATACCTTTCCTCGAAACAGAACCAAAAATCGTCAAATGTGAATTCTCAAACTGTCAGGACTCCTGTGAAGAGACTTCCTATTGAGAACAGACCGATAGAGAAGCGATTAGATCCTCAGAAAATTGTGGGTACAGAAGAGAGGAATTCTGTCACTCAGGATAGAAAAGCTTCAGGAGATGACAGTCCAAACAAAATTTCTGAGAATATCGTGAAATGCTTATTGAACGTTTTCTCTCGAATGAGCTCCAAGAGGACAAGGAGCTCAGCAGAAACACTATCTTCACTTCCAGCAATCACTTTTTGTGATAGTTCAGTAACTACACAGTTTAAGGACCCATATGCCATCTCTTTAAAGTTTGGAAAACGAGATATCGGTCCATATAAGCATTTATTTGCAGTCGAAGCTCCCTCCATCAATCCAAATCGGTCAACAGTATCTGTATTCCTAGTTCGCAGATTGAAGTAAGTGACTACAATACAAATCAAACTTTCCCACCACATTATCTGTATGTCTACTCATTCGTGATTTTGCAGACTCCTTCTCGAGAAACTTGAATCAGTAAAACTTAAGGGTCTCACCCACCAGCAGAAGCTCGCTTTTTGGATTAACATCTATAATTCATGCATGATGAATGTACGTGCCATATTTATACGATCAATGTTTTCGTTAAGAGCCTCTGATCAATGACAAATATTCGTTCTGTTGCTTCAGGCGTTTTTAGAAAATGGAATTCCAGAGAGTCCCGAAATGGTGGTGGCCTTAATGCAAAAGGTAATTAAGTTCCTCTTTAGAATTGGAGAATTATGAGATATGTTAAACTCTTAATTGATAAATTCCAATTGTCATTTGTAAGGCGACGATTAATGTTGGGGGGCACTTGCTTAATGCCATAACCATTGAACATTTCATTCTGAGGCTGCCTTATCACTCGAAATTTGTAAGTCCTTTCAACTTAATGTCGTCTTTTCTGAAAGTAAATCAAACGATTTCGCTATTAACTTATCTTCTGTCCCCAGACCTTCGAAAAGGGTATAAAAAACGATGAGATGACAGCACGGAGTATCTTCGGGCTCGAGTTCTCTGAACCGCTAGTGACCTTTGCCCTCTCGTGTGGAAGTTGGTCATCTCCTGCTGTAAGTCATTAGACGAGCTTCAATTCACATACTTTTCTAAATAGATACTGAAAAAAAGTGGTGTCTTGTTTAATAAAGGTGAGAGTATATACTGCATCGAAGATTGAAACCGAGCTAGAAGTAGCAAAACGAGAGTACTTGCAGGCAGCCATTGGGATTTCGAGTGCCAAGAAAACGGTAGCAATACCAAAGCTGTTGGATTGGTATCTGCTAGATTTCGCGAAGGATTTGGAGTCATTGCTCGATTGGATATGCCTTCAACTACCCAGCGAGCTGGGAAAAGAAGCCCTCAGCTGCCTCGAGAGAGGAAACAACGAGCCACTTTCCCAGGTTCTCGAAATCATACCATATGAATTCAGTTTCAGGTACCTGCTATGCATGTAAATTTCGGGTTTTTCTTTAGTCTTTTTCACCACACAGTTCAATGGTTTTCGAGTCACAGGTCGAAATAGAGCTAGCACTATAGATACATATAGAGATTGAAGTGTATATTCTCCTTCTGAGTAAATTTTTGCTCTCTTCCACAATCAAATCAGCAGCTTGGCATATTTTATGTAACAATCATATCTGTCATGATTGGCATATATTAGTAATAGGGGTTTGAAAGATTGGTTCTTGGTTTTTCCTGCCATGATTAATAAAATGCTTGGTGGGGTTTGAATGGAGAGTTGGTGGCAGAGAGATCTTTAATTGCAGAATTTCTTCTTTTAGTCAATAAATTCTGGCAGTCCAACAAATCTATACAGAGTTTAATGGTACTGTTTCTACCTAAATAATTTGTTTAAAAGTACATGTATGTATGCAACTGGATCTTCCCATGGAGCATGACAGCAAGGCAGCAATGAATAATGGTAGTACTTTACCTAATGGGGTGGTCATGGCCCCTGTGGTCCTGGGATTTTATTGCTATTTTTTTTTGAAGAAAAGAAAATAGTAACTAAAAGGACATGCAAATTGATGCTAGCTGTAAATGGGGACTTGTTCATGAGATCAGGAGATCTGCATGGGTGGAGATTGGCTGGGCTGAATTTGCTATGAATTATTTCTTGGGTGCAAAAGGCGAAATTTTTCACTTTGAAAGCCCCACATTTTTATTGTACAAAATTGTGGAGAGTTAAATCATGGTGACTTAGGAGTCCTTTAAGTGAGAGGATCAGTGCTTGGTGCTCAAAATGAGTCACCCATATAAGAGGGTGAAACTCCACAGTACACTACAAGTGCTAAGATTGAATTCTGCATCCTTGGGTGCAATTAACTGAGCTACCCATGAGGACTGCCATTTCTTAAAAAGTACGGACCTTAAACTTGATGGATCCCATTTGTCTTTGCCTTAGAGCATCTCTAAGAGAAAACCAAAACACCATTCTATCAAATTCTGCTGCTCCAACCTAATGTCAAATGCTAAAAAAATTGGCGAAGGTGAACAATGTCGTGCCATATAGAGGGGTGCGCAAATTACACTTTTGTCCTTGCTTATTTATTTAATTACAAATGTGTCTTTTATTTGTTTTATGTATTTTTTATTTTGTTAAATACTTAAATTTAAAATTTATATTATTAAATATAAATTATACCAATATTGAATATATATTAATTAAATTAAAATTTCATATAATATTTTTAAAAAATTATTATTTACATCACAAAATTATATTTTATATTAAACTAATTAAATTTGAACCAATAAAGTTTTGAAGTTTGAGAAACCAAATTATATTATTTTATTGTAGAATAATATATGGTGTAGAAATTTGGTACAATGGGTTGAAAATTAATAAAATTTGATGTAAGAATATTCATTTTGATGTAATCTTTGGTGGAGATTTTTGGTGTTTTGGTGTAAAATGGGTTGAAGATAAATATTAACTCAAAACATTAAAAATTTGCACCAAATGTCACATCAGAAGAAATATTCTCACACCAAATTTTATTCATCTCTGACTCATTACATCAAATGTTATTCTATTTTTTGGTTTCAAAATTTAAAAATTTATTAAGTTAGATTTAATTAGTTTAATATAAAATATAATTTTTGATATAAATAATAATATTTTAGTACAATTTAATTTTATTAAAATTATAATCTAGGTAATCTAATTTTTAATTAATATATATTCAATATTAGTCTTGTTTTAATCCGTCTCGATAAAATCTTTCAAATGATATAATTTATGTTTAATAATATAAAACTTATGTATACATATTTAAAATATATTAAAACCAAAGGATATAAAAGAAATTAACAAAAAAAAAAATAGCAAAATATAAATTAACAGTGTTGCGCCTTCACCATCGCGAACTTTTGACTTCTTGGTGTCTCCCTTGGAGGAGAAATATGTTTTTTTTTTTTTTACCGTCTCTGTATTTGATAGGGTTTGAACTCATGACGTTAGAAACAGATTATTAACCTTATTTTAAATTAGCCAACTAATGGTAAGTCGTACATTTGTACCAAGCCAATAAGCTATCATGAATTATTTTTTACTTGACTTACGAGAGTGCAATTATATACATTTGTCAGGGATTACAACTATTCAAAGGACAAGTCATGATAATTTACAATATTTGTAAAAATTTCCGGTTATTATTATTATTATTTGGTAGATGAAGTTTGAGGATAAACAAGAGTGGGACATGTGTTACAGGGTGAATGTGTGGTGCTTTATAAAAAATAAAAGAAGCCATATTAGAGGAAGGAACAATCTGCCTTTCTATGAAAGTGTTTGTTAGCGTTGTAGCGTTTAGTCCTGTCGGCGAAGCATACGCCCCGCCCCATCATATCGGATCTGCCAACCATTTTTGGTATGTGTCTCTTTATCATATTCAGCTAGACATCGCCTGCACATCTTCAATCGTACCGTCTCGGAATATTTTTCTAAATCACGGGAAAATTTTCAGTGTTTCTACTCGACATGCTAAAAAAAAAGAAGGAAAATTACTTTTATTCTTTAAAATGAGAATAAGATCACGTAGAAATTGAGGATTGATCTCAGGTGTCCATTAGAGTTTAGTACAAAATAAAATACAGGTCAATTTTATAATTATTAAAAATTTTAAGAGTGAGGTTCATTTTATGGCTATTGTAGATTTGAAAGTTTAGTACTAGTAAGATCTTAGCCTTTGATTTTAGGAGAGTGTAGACGTTTTTATACTTTTTACAGGGAAATATGTTCTCACATGTACCTTCCTTAACTAAAATATGCGTTTTTTTTTTTTTTTTTCCGAAATACTCATGATTCTTTACAATGTAGTATCTGTTCTATACATTCTCAAATAATTTCACTGAAAACTTGAGTTTAGGGTTGGACTCTTGTGCACTGAAAACTTGGTTTAAAAAAAAAAAAGGTGCCAAAGGATTTCAAAAAGAGCATTTTGTTTTGTATCTTAACAAATTAATTTTTGAGAGTTCTATATATGCAGTGCGGGCCGTGGGGAATGGGAGTCACTACATTGCCATTTATTTGTAATTTGGCAAATTATGTTATGCACCGCGGTGCATAATCGATTATGCACCGCGCGTCTTTTTTTTAAATGAAAATTAACAGTGTTTATTTCCGCTGTTTCGCACCCTTTTGCAAAAAGTAACTCTGTTATTCAGTGTCATTTTGTATACACTGCAGTTTCAGTTGAACACAACTACAGTTTCATTTCGATATAACTATAGTTTCATTCGATATTTATAGACTCAAATATGTGAAAATGTTATTTAATTTTATTTTATATACACTATAGTTTTATTAAAACACAACTAAATAATTATTTTGATATAATTACAGCTTCATTGTACAATATACACTCAAATATGTGAAATGTTATTCAGTTTCAGTTTATATACACTGCAGTTTCATTTCACTATAACTACAGTATCATTTTGATATAACTGCACTGTCGGTTTGGATATACTATAGTGTTAGTTGGTGTTTAATACACCAAACAAACGGACTCCGTTAATTCTAACGGCGGGCCGTTTCTTTACTTAAAGAAACGACGCCGTATATGAGCCGCGGTGCATAATCGATTATGCACCACGGTCTATAATATAACAACTGTTGTAATTTGCCAAAGGCCAACATCACTTTTATATGGGCTTTTTTGATGAGAAGATTGACATAATTCGATCCAGGCCCATTATATATCAAGCCCATACAACTGGTCCAATTGCTTCTTCTTGATGCAAGAAACATATTTCAATCGTATGTTATACCCTACACCACGGCGCACATAGCACTGTGCGCCGCGCGCCTCCCAAAACGACGTCATTTTGGAGGCGTGGTAGGAAGTTGCTGGGATTATGTGTATTTGTTCACACAGTTATGTGTATTGGTTCATACAGTTATGTACATTTTTTATACAATTATGTACATTCTTTTTATACAATTATGTACATCCGAATCAGAAAATTTGTGTGTATTATGTTAATAGTTGATGTGTATTATGTTAAAAGTTTATGTTTATTATGTATTATGTTAGATTATGTGTATTATCTTTTAAAAAGAGTATGTATATTTTGTTATATAATTATGTACATTCATGTATACAATTATGTGTATTCTAGTATAATATTATGTACATTCTTGAACAGCGAGTTTTTTTAAAATAAAAAACTACTGCCATTCACTGGGGCGGGAAATTTCAAAAAAAAAATAAAAATAAATTAAAACGACGTCGTTTTGCATCTGGGCGCATAGTGCAACGCGCGCCGTGGTGTAGGATATAAATTGCCAACATATTTAACATGTAAATTAAATATGATATAAGTTCCTGAGCACCATTCAACTGGTCCATCAATCTAAAATAGTTTCATAAGCTTCATAGGGTGCATAGTTTAAATTGTACGAAGGTATAATTTCATAACAATCAATAGTCGGCCACCATGACAAACGAAAATATTATTATTATTATTATTATTATTATTATTATTATTATTATTTTAGAGGAGCTAAGAAAGATGATATATTGTGATTATTCCCTTGTGGGAAGATGAGAAATATTGTAAAGATGGAAGAGACATCATAGGTTGTAGTATCCTAATTAATGTTTGTAGATGGTCATTTTCAAAGTAGAATCACCAACAATTTTGATGCTTATTGCCAGCTTTAAAATGCTAGTTGGTTGTTATAAGAAGCTCATCCTTAGGCCCCCCTCGTTTCTTTCTCATGTGTCACACATCCATACATCCGAATCTTTCCCTAAAGTCGAGCCATATATATTTATACCATAAAACTAAAATCTTGATAAAATTAATTGGACATTTGCTGTCTAGATAAGGTTCCCACACTGTAGAGTCCTCGAAGGCTTAATTTAAGAAAGAGTATGGGCAACATCCCAATACCTCAATCTCCATCCTTGATCTTTGAAATGATACCAATTTGAAATGATACCAAAGTGGTGCTTTTGGTCCCGGCCAAATAAGTAATTTGTAACAAAATTACATTGAATTAATTAATGAGACAAAATCAATTGCTAATAGAAATAGACATTAAATTGTGTTTTATTTTTCTTTCAAAAACTTGTCTCATTTGCATTCGATCTCGAAGAGTTTAATTATGAAATAGAAATTAATAATAAATAAATAAAAGAAAGCCACAATTACATATATTTAGAAAGTCATGACTAGAAAGTAGGATTGACTTTTTATGGCTAAATGTTGGACATTGATAGCCTCAAACTTTGTAATTACAATGCAAAACACATCCATTGCAAATGATATAACTCCTAAATTACAGTAAAACAAGTCGCTAGATGGGTGTATACATGTTAATATGTTATGTTAGTGCAATTTTAATGTATTTAATTATTAGTTGTTTTTTTAAAAAAAAAATAAATACGCACCCAAAAAATTGTGTGTGTGTGTGTGTGTATATATATATATAAAATAAGAAATTTCAATATTGATTTTTTCATAGGAAGAAAATCTAGAAGATTTCTTAATCATCATATGAAAACCCAAACATGCGGAAGATTAAAATTTCTTATTCTACGGTTGATCAAATATTTAAAGGAAAAAAAATTGTAAATATTTCCTATTTTACCAAACAAAAGTGGTTGTCCCAAATTCTAACCACTTTTCAACAGGTAAAAAAGGGGTTAAAAAAAAAACTAAATTTTGACCTTTTTTTTTTTTTTTTTTTGGTTATCGAAATATTACAATTTCTCAGAAATTTTGTGTTATGTAGTTTAAACTTTCTTTTAATAATGCCTCAATTCAAAAAGTAGAAGTGCTCAATCACCATAGACGATACGGTAGAAATAATTACATTATACAATAATGTGATTTATCTATACTTTATAGATTGAATGAATGCAATAATTTAAAACATATCAAAATGGAAGACATGATAAACGCAGGAGCAATCAAAGCCGGCTACTATATGCCAATATGTCATCATCCATAGGCCTTGAAAGGAATAATCGTGTAAATAGAATATGACCTTCATATCTAAACATTATGAGTTTAATTCTTATCAATATTCTCTCAATTAAATCTGTCACACATAATTTTTTATCTCGTTACACAAAATATTCGTAATACAATTTATCTCTAGCTACTAATTAATTGCTCTTCATTCAATATATATTTGCCATCAATGGTCTTTTTCCTTTTATTTGATTTTTTTCCCCTTTTTTGTTGTTTTGCATGACATGTTTAATATCTTGTCTGATCTGTCAATATGTAATAGCACGCATTGATTGAACAACAAAGGCAGCTAAGCACCTCAGGAACCCCGGGCCCCGCTTGATGAAAGATATACATACATTATATACTACATGCATACACATATAGTATATATACACACATATACGTACACGTATGCATGCGTGTGTATTGTCTTATTCTTCCTCTTACCAAAAGAAAGTAAGAAAATAGCCGACTTAACCATTTGGCATTTGATACTCTACTAGTATACGTGGAGTTATATATGATTAAGTTATGCTTGTGTGAAACCATTTCATGAATTCTTATTCGTACGATGAGTCGTGAATCTTATCAAAGGGCATAACAAAGAATTTCACAATAATTTTGATTAGTGCATGGCGCCGTCCCTATCTTAAAGTTTTATAAGATGTGTTTCAAAAATTAAACCTTGCACCATATCGATATTTAAAAATTAATTTATTTATATTAATTAACCAGTTAAGTCGTGCAACAGAAACTCTACGTGCATAATCATTTGCACTAGTTGTAAGGTTGTGCAAATTCATATTAAAATCAAACTAATAAAAAATTATGAGATTTTTTTTTTGTCCTCCCACAATTGTACATCTTCTTCTTTAGTCCTTCACTATAAATTTTTTAATTTTGGTGTACAAATGTCAAACTTACCACATTTTGTAGTACGTTTTGATCAATCTTTCGTCCAATCTTTCACATGACAGTTATATAAGTTAGTTGGATGATGAGCACTTTTTTTTTTTTTTTTACTTGAACTTGAACAATTTATAAACCATATAGCTTAATATAATAGTACATATATATATTGAAGTCAGTATTGATGAATAGTTGACATGATTGACCAAGAAACTGATGAGAATGAACAAATGATAACCAAATGTGAATAAATAATAGTTAATGACTAAATTTAAAAGAAGTAGAATAGTGGAAAACCAAAAATGAAAAACACTCAAAATTATTTATTAATCAATTGATAATTTAAAAAAATTTCAACTTATTAACGATAAATTAAATTAACCATTTACACACTTTTCAATTTACATAAAAGTCTAAATATATATTTAGAATGAAACTCATTTTGTGATCATAACTAATAAACAAGATAAATTAATGAAATCAATCTAAATTGTTCATAATTAACCGACTTATCGTGAAATAAAAAATACAAATAAACAACTCTCATTAAGATTAAAACTTATAAGCTATCATATCATAAACAATTTACACACTATAGTTGTGTATAAACATGTCGGTGTGCAATGATGAAAAAGAAAAAGGAAAAAAGGGAGGGGATTGAAGTTTTGTCAGCAAGTGAGGCAGCAAGAGTGAAAATTTTATAGTAGGTGTAGGGTAGTAGGCCCCACCATATACTCAAAAAAAAAGGTGAAAGTCAAAGCGTGGCTGGTCGTCGGGAAGAAAAAAGCCCACCTCGATCTAGAACTTACGAATCAGTCGCGATTTCACGTAAAGGTAAAGATGGTAACAACCACTAATATAATGTCCACTGTACATTCAGTATATAAATAATTTACAATTAATATATTAAAAATATACTTCTTATTATGATCCACACGGTACTGTGTGGACCATAGAACCGTGGTCCACACAATAATTTGCCCATAGAAAAGTCCATAAAACTAACATTGTAGATTGTAGGAGTTCATCATTGGACTAATGAGACTAAACGGTGTATATGATTCGGGTTTAAATGTGTTTTCTATAGTTAGAATATGCTTAGGACACCTCATGATCTGATTAAAAAATGGTGTATATTAACTCATTGAGTCACCGTGATTTACATCCTCTCACATGTTCTGTCGGGTCGGAGTGTGGGGGCTTTTAGGGTTGAGGATTCAAGCTTTTGAAAAAAAATGGTGTATATTAACTTTATTGTTTTGAGCCGTCAACTATTATTACTTCTTTGTGATTCTTTGATAATTAAGATCATAACTCATAAGGCAAACTTGACTCGAAATCAAAATATACATTTACATAACATATGCAGATTTTCTCAAAATTAAAATGATAACATGATTTTTGAGGAATAAATATTTTTCACCTAAAAAACAACAATGGTCCAGACAAGCTGTCATAGTTGAAATAGAATCACCTTATCATACATACCAATATTTTGGGACACTTAGCTTACAGTACAGAAAATTCAATATATAGCTGTATTTATAGATGTCATTGCTCGCACCATCATTCTCATTATAATTAATCAAGCTTCTCGTCTTAATTATTTCTAGTAATTATCTTGCTTCCCACGTTTCCTCATTCCATTTTTACCCCTAACATATTTCTCACTTTCGAAACTTGACGTTTCTAATTAATGGTATATTTCTTTCAATACTTTCATTAGAAAATATTTTTTTTTCAGAGACGTGACAATTCTTTTGATATATAAATTTATGATAATAATGTATTTAATGCTCTATCCTATAATGATATTTGATCCCTTAGGAAGGGAAAACAGTAACTTTTTTTTTTTTTAATAAATAATATCCAATATTTGTTATGATAAAAGGGAATGATAGTTGATGGAACTCATTATGGCTTTAACTTTACCATGAATTTTGTGTGTGCGACAAGTAATTTGACCACATGATATTGAAAGGGACTTGTTGAAAGGCAATTAATAGATAGATCCAACCCTTCTTTGATTCTTATTATGATAATAGAATTGTTTATAACTGATTTGTTCAAATAAAAAAGGAGTAGCTCTTAAGTAAAATTTCAGACCAATTCAGTTAGAGTTGTCTATATGCTACAAGGTTTTAATGTTTTTTTTTTTTTTTTTTTTGTTTTTTGTTTTTTGGTTACCATGGGTATAGTATAGTACTCCATAACATTCTTAGTTCATTAATTGTAATTATATTGTAAATTTAGTCTATCAATAATAAACTATATAAATTTAGTCATTAAGTCCCAGCAAAGTAGTTATCACTAAGGTTTATTTTTTTAACAAAATCTCAGCATCAACTCATTAAGGACCAAATCATCACTTTCTTAAGAATTTGGAGATTAAATCTACCCTCATAGATTAAAATCTTATTTCCTTCCAACTTAACCAAAGGTCATTGATCAAGTTCAAGTTCTAAAAATGTACATACCTTAAAGCTCATATATTAATGTTTTATCACATTGAACTTCTACATAATATCGGGTTCTAATCATATATTATTACCTTTTGATTCATTGGGGTATGTAATAACTCTTCAATTCTCGTGAACTTATACAGACATATATTGTTAATAATTAATATACAATCAAGATGTCTATACGAACATATAAAAATATATAGTTTTAATCATGCATGCTTGAACCTATAATGTTATGGTTGTATGGTCATATTTGTATTGTCTTTCTTTTACTTGAAGGAAAATTCATGGTCTGGTGGGGCCCTCTACATGCATTTTTGTACAATAAATAAATAAATGCATATCATTCATCAACAAAACGGGACAAAAAATCAATACCACAAAGTAATAAATGGCGGCTTGGGAGTTTGAGTTTTAGGATTAAAAACCTCATGCGCCATTGACACCTTCCCTTCCTCCTTCCTTCTTCCTCTCCTCTGCTCTGCTATCACTTGCGTCTATTTATACGGACTCTGAAACGTTCATTAACCTGTTTCTGTCAATCCTCCATTACAGATACAGCTTCAAGAAATGGAGGTGATGGTGCCTGTTCACCGCTTGGACATGGATTTCGATTTCAACAGCGCAAGAGCTTCGCCGTGCGTGACGGCGCCTTCCACGCCCAGAGGCTTCGGGGATTACTATCTCAGCGCTCCGCCCAGCCCCTCTCATCTCTCGCAGCTCTACCGCGATTTCGATGATTTCTTGATTGATGATGATGGTGATGGGGAAGGGAAATCCGCCGCCGTGTACGGTGTTCCGTTCTCCTGGGAGGAAAAGCCTGGAAAACCTAAGAAACGGGAGGATGTTTTTGATTTCGCGTTTGATGTCGGGGAAGAGTGTGAAACGGCTTCTTTGTCGGCGGAGGAGCTTTTTGACGGTGGGATGATTAAGCCCCTTGAACCTCCTCATTCTGGCTATGGCGGACGGAGGAAGATGAGCAAGATTGGAGCTTTCTCGCCGAGAAACAAGAGAAAAAGTGAGTCTTTTGCAGATGAAGTAGTTGTGAGAAGAACCCCGGAGAGGGAGAGAGGGAGGGAAAGAGTTTCGAGTTTACAGTCATCGAGCCGGAGAGCGACAAGATCGGTTTCTCCGCTCAGAGTTTCTCAGTATCCATGGGAAGAGGAGCAAGAAAAGCAGCAGCAAGATTCTGCTAAGCCGCCGCAGCCGTCGTCTTCTCTGTCATCATCGTCTTCCTCGAAAGGTTTGGTCAAGAAATGGAGACTGAAAGATTTCTTCTTGTTCCGGAGCGCATCGGAGGGGAGGGCGTCGGATAAAGACCACCTGAAGAAGTACACGGCGGCGGTGGTTAAAGGGTCCAGTTTCCGGGGAGGAAATGATAGCGGCAGCCATTCTGGGTCGCTTTCGCGGCGGAGGAGAGGGCCGATCTCCGCCCACGAACTGCATTACACCTTCAACAGGGCAATTTCAGAGGATTTGAAGAAGAAGACTTTCTTGCCTTACAAGCAGGGCATTTTGGGAAAACTGGCCTTCAATCCCGCCGTGCATGCAGTGGCAAACGGCTTCGGACTTTCCCGCAAATAAATAAACAGTAATAATAATATACACATCTCTGCCTTTTGTTCAATTCGTTTAATTTCTTTCTTGTTGTATAGACAATTTTCCTTGTCTTTTCATTTGTTTCATGTTAATGTAATGTTTTGGTGTTGAACCTTATTATTATCAGTTGAGGAAAATATCAAACAACTGAGAATCAGTGAAATGAATCATCCTATACTGAGTTCTACTCCACCATTTTAATAGAAAATTATCTTGAATGTGCACTCTGAGTGAAACTTGCTTTGTGGTCGATTCAAATTGAGAAGTTCAATATGCATACAAAATCATGTGGAGCTGAATTGTATCAATGGTTAGGGGAGAGTACAAATGTCCTTTCATATCTAGTAACAATCTCATATATTTGACAGTGTTAATAACTCTACAACGACAACGGTTAAAGTTAGCCTTTAAACTACAGGTACCAACCGAATTTCACAACGATAATGGTTAAACATGGCCTCTTAATTGGGCGTGCTAACTGAATTTCATTGGAAGAACTATTTATCCTTCTAATTATTTAACATTACAAAATTTTTAAGTGATAGGAACTACAGAATTACAGATACATGTATAAACCATTGTAACAAGAAATAATAAAAGAAAGAATATTCCATTTGTTAGTTAAAACTCATTGTTTTAATTAATGAATATTAATAAACCACGTTTCAGTTGCCAAATGCATAATAATTTTTTAATATAATATAAAATATAAAATATAAAATAATCCAATAGTCAATTTGGTACAATAGGGGGGTTTGTCAGATATGCAGTAGAATCTGACTGAGAAGAATGGTAGCCGAGGGAGTAGATGTAGTCAAGAAAATCAAACTCCATGCAAATCGCTAAGGGGATAGATACGAAGCATTATTAGAAAAGTATTTTATTTCCTTTCATTTCCTGCAACTAAACGTCCCACTTGTTTCTTTTATATTTGTTGTGAAGAAAATTCTTATCAACTTCTAGAAGTGCCACCTGCCCTACATTTGTTTTTAAAAGTCCACATTATTTCCATTTTCTATTATATTAAAAATTAAAAATAATAATAAAAGTCCAGAGCACACGAGGAAAATGGACTTAAATTAGATAAACAAAACAACATTTCCAGGGAGCCCAACTTCTCTGAAAAAACAGAGGTTATTACCTTGTGCTAGTGAAGACAGGACAGGGACAAAACTCCATCGGGAAAAACCAGAATGATTAAGATATAATGTACACAGAAACATCTCTCCTATGTGTTCTTGAATCTCAGTCGAAGTTATCAATTTTGATTGGAGTGATTGGATCCGCAACTTGAAAATGTCCTACTAGACGCGCAAAGAAAACCATTTGCTGTTCGAGGGTGAACTTGATGTTTTCGGCCTGTGTTGTGTGACAAGGGTTAGCTAGTTCTAGTTCTTCCCACCCGAGATAGAGTTTTCAGTGTTTAAGTTTGGCTATGGTACATACCTTGCGGAAACCGTGTTGTTCTCCTTCATATTCCACCAGGGCAACAGGTAAACCTTTTGCCTTCAGTGCTTGGTAGATTTTGCGTGCTTGCTCTGGGGGGACAACCTGCAAAAGGTTTACAATTCAGTTTTGGAAACAATGACATTCTGTTCCTAAGGGATTAAAGACGATATGTTATTCCTATACATTCTTAAGTCATTCAAAGATGTTAAAAGGATGGCAGACAATTAACACTTTTAAGGATGTTTGCCTATACTCTCTTTAAGGATGTTTACACTTTAACTCTTTAAGGAGTAGTAAAAGTGAAGCTGCTGAGAATACCTTGTCATCCAATCCTTGAAATAAAATTATGGGGCATGAAAATTTGTCCACAAAATTGATGGGAGACCTCTCAAAGTATGCATTTTTATCTCCTGCAATAGTCCAAAGCTTGCCATAAACAAGGGACAGTGTATCTGATAAGCGGTAGGAAAAGGAATTTAGTAGACCTGTGAAGTCCTATTTATATCATTTACCAACAAGATTGTCGATATAGTGAGATTCAAACTTGGGCATTCCATCAACCAGCAATTTCAGGTCGCCTATCTGTATGATGAAAAATAAAAAATGACCAAGAAATAACAATGTGATTTGGGGGCGGGGGGTGTATAGCTCCACCAATAACTTTCGAAAGAACTCTGAAGTACTCACACCATATAAGGAACAACCAGCTTTGAATACATCTTTGAATGCAAGTGCTGCTAATGTAGTGTACCCGCCAGCTGAACTTCCCGTGATACATAACCGCTCACCATCAACCCTTCCACTATCAACCTACGCAAACAAATTAATGAATTGTGATTCATTGACAAACTTTGTGGCATTATTCATTACAAAACAGATAAAGGAAGTGGAGATTACCAAAAACTTAGCACAACTGCAACAGTCATTAACATCAACTATTCCCCAGTTCCTCAAGAGCCTCTCTCGGAATTCTCTGCCATAACCTTCAAAATTAATCCATATATAGAAAAGATATCAGGGGACTTGCATGCATGGGTTTTAAAATCTTTTCAAAAATTCTACTTTTTCCCCATCCTACCAGTGCTTCCACCATAGTTCACATCCACAAGTGCCCAGCCACGACTAGTCCAATATTGAATACTAAGATTCAAACTTCCCCTCGCCTCAGCTGTAGGACCTCCTGTAATATAACATGAATCACCAGGTTATACTTCAGACATGATTAGCGGTGAAGAAAAAGAAGAAGAAAAAAACCTCCATATAAGAAAAGAAAAAGAAAAAGAAATTCATACACTGCAGAATTATATTCACGAAATATACAAAGGCTAACAATTGCCCTATGCGGCTATGCTGAGATCAATGAAATGAATTTCTTTAGTGAGATAGCATATAACTAACTGATCACTATACTTATAAGTGCTACCCAAGTATATGTTGTTTTACATCCATAATTAGAGCCAAGTTATCACAATACACTTCCTGCATGGCTGGCTATAGGTATTTAACCAATTTTTGAACTGAAGAGATGAAATAATAAATTTATAATAGAATCAGACATACTAGAACAAAAAAGAGATACCATGGCTTTTCAGCAGTAATGGAGGTTTTTCATCCTGACCAGCTTGATACTCTGCGTTGGTTGGTGGATAAAAGTATGCATATGCATTTTGTCCAGGGACATCTGTTGGAAACTCTACTAATTCAGGCACGCTGATGTATGATTCATACATCAAGCTCATAGATGAAGAAGACCACATGATTTTAAACTCAGCTACTTTTGTCATTTGATCATCCAAAGTCACCTGCAAGCATATATAACATATAAATAACTTCTAGTCCAAAGAAATTTAAATTTAGTATTTGATTAGTTGAAAGCAATTTGAAAGGTTATCCTCAGGGTAAGCATAAAGCAATAACATAGCACCTTAGCTATTGATGATGGATGGACAGTAGAGGCACCCTCAACATAAAGGCAATTAATCCCAGCAGTCTGCACAAGGAAATACTGGCATTTCTAACAACAGCAACAAAAAAAATGCAAGTTATCCTTAAGTGAAATGTGAAGCTCAAAAAGAAAAAGATTACAATATTATTAATATCCGTGAAAGGAATCCCAAGCAGTGTCAATTTTCCATGAATAACATCAAGAATTCCAAGATGTGACTTGCCATTCTTCCTGCAACATTTTCAGCGAAGTGTCTACTAGATCAAATACCACCCCAAAAAGAGTGGGGAAGGGATGGAAGGCGAGATAAAATTTTAAAAAAATAAAAAATAAAAATAAATAAATAAATAAAGTAGGTCACTTTTACTACCAAGACACCAGTACTATGAACTACCACAATAAAATAAAAATAGTATAAGAAAGTAATGTATTTCTGTGTAACCTGTAACTGCATGCTACAAGGGTTTCCTGATCATGATTCTGAAGAAAATCATAGGACTGGAACCCAAAGACCCATAAAGGTCTTGTGAACTCTCCATCTATGGTGTACATTGGTAGCACCTCATTAGTAGATTCTACCTGTCACCACAAAGTACTTGAATAAATAAATGCAAACAAAAGAAAGACAATCAATACTGTGATACCTTTTAAAATTCAGAAATGGTCATTGGAAATATTAAAATGAGTAGCAAAAGAAATCGCATGAAATCAAGATCAGGCATCTAAGCTGATAAGTTACCCATTTGTAGATATTCCAAAACCCATTATTCCTGTCAGTTACAAAGTACAGCTCTCCTGCACACACAAATATGCAAAGGAGGATATGGTACATTTTATGTCAGTTAGAGTGAGTTATTGATCAGTCATTTAAAGAAAGAAAAAGGGGAAAAAAATGTCAATCAAAATGTTTCATTATTTGCAATCAAAATGTTATTATCACAAGTGCATACCTTGGGGAGACCACTTGGGTTCAGTTGGAGACTCCAAAATACTCTTATCACCTCCAGCAACACAAATACGTTTAACAACATCTCTAGAGAAGTAGATTTTGAAACAAAACAAATGTTAATTAAGCAGCAACTTGGTGAAGTAATCACTATATTTGGCCAAAAAAAAAGAAACTATTATCATCATTCCTCAAAATAAGTTTCACCTCTGGTGGTATATATGGAGTTTAAAACAAACTAAACAAAAAATAAAAACAACGTGAAGTATCCCAAAGTTTACAGAAATTTGACAATTCATGTAAGTCAATAATTTGTGAATGTTCCATTGTATGTTCATACACATGCATATTTCTAGGTGCCGATCTGTTTGAGTCAATATCTCTGAGATGGTGTGATCATTATAATGTTTTGGTGCCAGTCATCAACAACATAAATAACAGCAGCATGCTTCATCAACAACATAAATAACAGCAGCATGCTTCATCAACAACATAAATAGCAGCAGCATGCATTCTTACAGCTGAACTGCAAAAAAAAAAAAAAGAAACACTTGGCCAAGTTGGGCGCCGAGTTGGCCGGCTTGGGAGCCTAAGCCGCCTAGTCGGCTGACTAATGTCAGCCTAAGGGTCAAATCCCCTCAGCCTAGGGGCGCCTAGCACCTAATCAGCGCTGCCAGGCGCCTAGGCCAATTTTTGCAACAGTGGAAATGGAACACCTTAAATTGCAAACTAATATTTCAAATAAATAAATAAAGATCTGGAATTATATATTGTATACCCATTATCTGATATATAGCCAACCCAAAGCTCTGATCTATCCCACGGCATGTTAGGATGACCCCATTCAATCCAAGCCATTCGTTCTCCTCTAGGGTCCATACGAGGAAAAGCATAAAAGTCATTTCCACCAACTAATTCTTTTGGCTCTGCAAGGTCAAATGAGGCAAAGAAGAAGATGAAGTTAATCATTCATTCATTCATTCCTCGCTCCGCCAGTCTAAACAAAAATCTCACCTTGAATAGTATCATTGCTCATATCAATCGACACAATTGTAGTAATTGAATTTGTACTGCTTTCACGTGAATCTATATGGATTAAAAGGAGCAATGAACTCTCCATGAGATAATGCCATGAAATGTAATATAGAACTCTATGGCATATAGCTGTGGGTGATAACCTTCTCTCACTGCCACAAAACGGTTAAAGCGAGAATCAAATACTCCGTCAGCATAGCACACCTGCGGCCCACCATAGTCCGGAGTGATTGGTGTAGGTGCAGAATCTGCAAATCATCAAGGCCACATAAAAACAATTTTACACTTCCAAATCCAAATTTATAGCAACTCTGGAACAAACAAACTATGTTTTGATTACTGCCATTACTATTTTGTAATAATCAAGATATTATCATACCAAAGCAAATTATACATTAGCAGGTAAGCAACTACAAGTCTACAATGAACCAGAATTCGCATGCATGTTACATTGTGGGGATATATTTAGTTATTTACAGAAAAAAATAATTGCACTAGGTAAAAAAGTAAGCACTTATTATGGAAACAACCTCTAGAAGAAATGGACTGCTTGTAAAGTCTTTGATCCTTGTAATTGGAGAAAATCAGAGTGTCTCCATAGATGCTAAAGTCACCGCCTCCATATTCCTGAGCCACAGTCCTGACTGCATAGTCTTTCGGCGTGATATCCGTCGGCGAATCCCCCGGTTTCTCCGGTTCCTTCACGATAACTCCTCGTCTGAACAAACAATAAAATCCGATTATATGTCAGGTGAATCGGATTCCCATACTAGATAGGTATACTAGTATATGAATGCGCTTACGGCTTACCCGGACTCTGTCGGCCGAGATTCGAGCCAGATGAGGTGGCTTAGTGAATCGGCGGCGAAGCCGCCGAGCCTCTTGGTGGAGCCGGAGACGACGTCGGCGGTTATGGGGGACTTCCAGGAGCCATAGGGAGCCGTGATCTTATTAACGGCCGGAGCTGTTGACGCCATTCGCTTGCAGTAGATATGGCGAGTGTGCTTGTTGACTGCAATTCTTTTGACTCGAATACTGAGTTTGCGTGAGGAAGGATGGAAGGGAAACGACGTCGTTACACACGAAATGAGATGATGTCGCGCTAGAGTGCTAGCTATGGCCGAAAGTGCCATGTATAGTCTCTTGGCGCTACTGTCGTGTTTGGTCCAACAAAAATTATAAAAAAAAATTAAAATTTCTCGAATCTCGGTTTTTAATTTTTTATCATATCTTGGGCTTGGGTTTGGGCCGTGCCTGGGCCTAACCCAAACTTTCTCTAGGAAAGTAAGTCCACATGATAGTAGATTATCTAAGCCCAAGATTCAACTCCAGCCCATCAACCAGAGCAGAGATATGGATGTCAACGAGGCGGGGTGGGGGCGGGGGACATACCCCCCATCTCCGCCGGGGAATGGAAAACTCCCCCCATCCCCATCCCCACGGGGATTATTCGGGGACGGGGAATCCCCACCCCATTAATAAGTTATAAAAAAAAATTAAAAATTAAACATTAATAAACATTTAAATAAATAACGTATATATATTCATCCCCAATTTAAAATAGTATTCAATATTTTACAATTAAACATGTTATTTAAATATGCATTTCATAAGCATTGACAAGAATGCTTCTAAAATTATATATATTGTACACAAAGTAATACATATGTGTGTGTACTCCCCATACATACATACATACATCAGGGACGGGCCGGGGTGGGGAGAGTACTCCCCATCCCCGTCCCCGTCCCCAGCGGAGAATTCAAAATTGCCCCCATCCCCATCCCCGATCCCCTATTTCTATCCCCATCCCCGTCCCCATAGGGGCGGGGAATCGGGTTCCCCGTCGTGTGCGGGTACAATTGACATCCCTAAGCAGAGAAAACCCGGTAAATTAGAGTTTTTTGCACTTTTAGTCCCACGACTATAGTGGCACTGGCAGAATTGATCCACGACTTTTGAACCTTGCAATTTTAGTCCACGACTATTGATTTTTTTGCAAAAATGGTCCTTCCGGCCACTTTTCCGTCAAAATTTCACCGGAAAAAAAAAAACTCCATTTTTAACCGGGTTAAAATTGACATTTTACTTATCTCAAAAAATTAAAAGAAAAAAATTGATATTTGACCCTACATACAATATTACTGGGCTACATACTACTGCCCCAGACGGCGGAGTTCCTGGAGCAGGCAGGGCTGTCAGTAAGCGGCGGAGCGGCCGTGGCGTTCCCCGGGCTAGTTGGGTTATCCGGCAGTAGCATTGGAGTGGTACATGTACTCCGCTGCCTGGGGCAGTAGTATGTAGCCCAGTAATATTGTATGTAGTCAAATATCAATTTTTCTTCTTCTAATTTTTTGAGATAAGTAAAATGTCAATTTTAACCCGACTAAAAATAGAGATTTTTTTTTCCGGTGAAATTTTGACAGAAAAGTGGCCGGAAGGACCATTTTTGCAAAAAAATCAATAGTCATGGACTAAAATTGCAAGGTTCAAAAGTCGTGGATCAATTCTACCAGTGCCACTATAGTCGTGGGACTAAAAGTGCAAAAAACTCCGGTAAATTATGCTCTGAAACTATGTTCACCTTGCAAGATGAACACGGTTCCAAAACTGTTCATAATTATGAATATATAGTTCAAAAACTATGAACATAAAGTTGTGAACATAATTATGAACATATAGTTCTGTAATTATGAATATAGAGATTCAACAATTGTGAATATGAAGTTCAAAATTTATAAATATATAGCTTTATAATTATGGAACATATAGTTCAGCAATTATGAACATAGAATTCTGTAATTGTGAATATAAAATTCAATAATTATGAATATAAAGTTCAAAAATTATGAATATATAACTTTATAATTATGAACATATAGTTCAGTAATTATGAATATAGAACTGGGTTCATCTTGCAAGGTGGACACAATTTCACAAGATAACAATTGAGAAAACCCAATTCCATACATTGCAGTCGTTATATTATAGACCGCGGTGCATGTGCACCGCGGTAAAAAACGGCGCCGTTTCTTTAAGTAAAGAAACGGCCCGCCGTTAGAGTTAACGGAGTCCGCTTGTTTGGTGTATGTAACACCAACTGACACTATAGTATATCTAAACCAACACTGCAGTTATATCAAAATGATACTGTAGTTATAGTGAAATGAAACTACAGTGTATATAAAATGAAACTGAATAACATTTCACATATTTGAGTGTATATTGTATAATGAAGCTGTAATTATATCAAAATGATCATGTAGTTGTGTTTTAATGAAACTATAGTGTATATAAAATAAAATTAAATAACATTTTCACATATTTGAGTCTATAAATATCGAATGAAACTATAGTTATATCGAAATGAAACTGTAGTTGTGTTGAACTGAAACTGCAGTGTATACAAAATGACACTGAATAATAGAGTTACTTTTTGCAAAAGGGTGCGAAACGGCGGAAACAAACACTGTTTATTTTCATTTAAAAAAGAAAAAAGACGCGCGGTGCATAATATAATTTGCCCATACATTGAAATAGAAAGCAAGCGAACTTTGCTAGTTTGCTTTGGCTCAACATATTAAGCATATAATATATATATATATATATATATATATAAATGTAGTCAACTCCATTTCAAAAAGTCATGGATTCCGGTCTCCGTATTACCTAATTAAAAAAAAAAAATTATAGTCCACGTATTGCTTAGAGCCCCCTAAAAATAATTGGTTCACACACAAAAAAAACATAAATATGTAATCTAACTATGATCCATCTGATAAAAAAAAAACTATGATCTACATATTACAAAAGTAATAGACCGCTAAACTATTTACGCCTTATATCTTAGTTGTGACAACGTAATAAGTTGATTTCACTTAGATCATTGGCCACTCAAATATTATAACCCCGACCCAACCATGTCAATAAGGATGTTAGGGGGCGACTACTGGGCGAGTGACCCTCGGAGCATTATGTTGTGCAGCTGTGTGCACCATGTAAGGTGTGCACGAAATTGGATCCATAATTTTTATACTATAGATTTATAATTTCTAAATTGTATAGTTATCAAATTATGATCATATAGTTCAGTGATTTGTGAATACATAATTGACAATTGGAAATATGAACATTGAAAATTATGAACATAGAGTTTTGTAATTGTGAATATAGCGTTCAATAATTATGAATATGTAATATAGAAATTATAAATCTACAGTATAGAAATTATGAATTCAATTCTGTGTGCACTATGCATGGTGCACACGGTTGCACAACATAATTTGCCGTAATCCCAACCACTCTTCATCCAATTTCTACTATTAAAAAAAATGAAGGATATACACAAAAGAATGGTATTCATGGCAAGGTCTTGGATGGTAGCAGTGTGGCAGAGATGTACTAAAACTCTCTTTAACAAAAAACAGATTAAAAAAAAACTACCCCATCGATCGGCCGTCGGCCATCCTAATCAAAGTAAGAAACAGTAACATAAAGCAACATGGAATCGGACCCATCAAGAAACCCAATTATTGGTGACCCCTAATGCCCATTGCAATATGGACCCAATGACTGTACCCGGCAACGTAGTATAGCCCACAAACGGAAAGGGACTCATTGCGGAACTATGACTAATCCGAAGCAATTTAAAAATATATGTTGTGATACTTCTCTAAATAATTTAATTTTGAAGTGTTAGTAACATGTGTAAATGTGCAATTAACATCACTATAGATAACATTTAACATTATAGAGTACAAGTAATTAACTTCCACATTCGGTGTAATTAATTATAATATTAGGTGCACTTAATATTGTTGTTCGGATGTAATTATATTTTTCTACTCTATAATGTTGTTAAATCCACTCCATAATGTAATTACTTATGCTTAGAGTTCCATATATTTACGAAAATTTCACCTCAGTTTTTTCATCTCTTTATAGATGAATGACTCTGATTGATTATTAGTTCTCCTTTGCGTGTCTGATATATTTTTATTTGATCCAAATAATATATATATATATATATATATATATATATATATATATATATATATATATATAGAGAGAGAGAGAGAGAGAGAGAGAGAGAGAGAGAGGGCAATAATGCTAGCCTATTCTAGCTTCAATCTAGTATGATCAACAAAGGTTTAGAGTTTATGAAGAAATATGATAACATTTTGATAATTATTTCAAATTTAAAATGTCGTACAATTGTTAATATGTAACAGTGCATATCAATGGATACACTTTAGAATTGCAGCTTTGAGTGTACATTTACATATAATTTGAGTAATTTGTAATTTTGTTCAATACACATTTACAATTTTTACGAGAAGCAGCGTATACTATACACTAGACTAAGTCATATACATATGAAAAATGTTGATATGTCAATTATCATTAGTACCTCTTACCCCTGATACAACTCTAATGTGAATTAATTAAATTTGTATTGTATATTATAACTGGCCGGGAACATTAACTTCATAATATCCGATACAAATCAAAGTCTTCTTCAAAATTTGTTTGCTAGAACAAAGTATCAGCCAAACCAATCGACAATGGTGATTTCTAATAATGTTGCTATCATGTATTATAATTATTATGTATATACTAATAAGAGTAAGCAAGTTCTTTTGGTTTTATTTCAGTAACATGATGATTGGGTTTTTCTAGAACACCATGTGAATTCACCAACTGTAGTTCTGAAAATCTCCATCACTTATTGTCAAGCACTTTGTACTCAGTTGCCAGTTGATACATTTGTAACTCTCTTTGAGAAAAAAATTACAGATTGAATTTCAATGATGGGATATTGACTCTTTAAACTGCAATAGGTATAAAATATATATTACTTTGTAATAGAATCAATAATAGTCCCAAAAAAAAACCCTCAAAGTTACGTATAATCTTGTCTAATCTCTCAATGTATAGGTAGGCCACTGCCGGTCCAAAATGGTGATCCATCACAAAAAAGAAAATTTCTGACACATATTTTGTAAGCTGACATATACTCCCCATCCGCAATATGATTAAGGTTAGGTCTGGGGACACTTGAAATTATATGGATAACATTAACACTTCACAATTCTATTTTAGTCCAACACCATTCAACAATTCAAAATAGATAGATGCTCATTTGTAACTTCGTTTTAAT